GAATAAGAAGATGGTCCAGTTTCATTCTTTTGCGTGTATCTGTCCATTTTTATCAACACATTTATTGAATAGACTGTCTTTACCCCATTGTATATTCTTGCCTCCTTTGTCATAGATTAAATGACCATATAGGCGTGGATTTATTTCTGGGCTCTCTATTCTGTTCCATTGTACTATGTGTCTGTTTTTATGCCAGCACCATGCTGTTTTGACTTCTGTGTCCTTGTAGTAGATATCAATATAGATTGATATCAGGTAGCTTGACACCTCCAACTTTCTTCTTTCTCCAGATTGCCATGGGGTCTTTTATAGTTATATATAAATTTTAAGATTATTTATTCTAGTTCAGTGAAAAATGCCACTGGTATTTTAGTAGGGGTTGCATTGAATCTGTAGATTGCTTTGGGTAGTATGGACATTTAAACTATGTTAATTATTTCTGTCTATAAGCATGATATATGCTTCCATTTATTTATATCATCTTGTATTTCTTTCTTCAGCATGTTATAATTTTCCAAGTACAGGTCTTTTGCCTCCTTGGTTAAATTTATTCCTAGTTATGTATGTATGTATTTGTTTTTCATATATTTGAAAATGGGATTATTTACTTGATTCCTTTTTCTGATAGTTCATTATTGGTGTATAAGAATGCAGCTGATTTCTGAGTATTTTGTATCCTGCTACTTTACTGAATTCATTTATCAATTCTAATAGTTTTTTGGTGGTAACTTTCAGGTTCTCTCTATATAGTATCATGTCATCTGCAAATAATGACAGTTTTACTTCTTCCTTTCCAAATTGGATGACTTTTATTTCTTTTTCTTTTCCTATTGCTGTGGCTAGGATTTACAATACCATGTTGAATAAATTGGTGAAAGTAGACATCCTTGTCTTGTTCCTGATCTCAAGGAAAATGCTTTTAGCTTTTCCTTGTTGAGTGTGATGTTAGCTGTTGGTTTGTCATTTGTGGCCTTTATTCTGTTGAGCTCTGTTCCTTCTAGTCCCACTTTGCTGAGAGTTTTTATCATAAATGGCTACTGGATTTTGTCAAAGGCTTTTTCTGCATCTTGATACGATCATATGGTTTTTATCTTTCGCTTTATTTATATGATGTATCATGTTTGATGTGCAGATATTGACCCAGCCTTGCATCCCAGGAATAAATCCCATTTGATTATGGTGTCTGATCTTTTTAACGTATTGCTGAATTTGGTTTGCTAATATTTTGTTGAGGATTTTTGCATCTATGTTCATCAAGAAAATATAATTTTCTTTTTTTGTAGTGTCTCTGTCTGCTTTTGGAATCAGGGTAATGGTGGCCTCAGAGAATGAGCTTAGGAACCTTCCCTCCTCTTGAATTTTTTGGAATAGTTTGAGAAAAATAGGTGCTAATAATTCTTTGAATGTTTGGTAAAATTCACTAGTGAAGCCATCTGGTCCAGGAGTTTTGTTTGTTGGGAGTTTTTTGATTACTGATTCGATTTTGTTACTAGTAGTCAGTTCAGATTTTCTGTTTCTTCTTGATTCAGTCTTGGAAGATTATATGCTTCTAGGAATTTACCCATTTCTTTCAGATTGTCCAATTTGTTGGCGTATAATTGCTTGTAGAATTTTCTTATAATCTTTTGTATTTCTGTGGTAGTCATTGCCACTTCTCTTTCATTTCTGATTTTATTTATTTGGGTCTTCTCTCTTTTCCTTGATGAGTCTGATGAAAGGTTTATCAATTTTGTTTATCTTTTCAAAGAACCAGCTCTGGGCTCCATTGATCTTTTGTGTTTTTTTAAAACTCTGTTTTGTTTATTTCCACTCTGATGTTTGTTATTTCCTTCCTTCTGCTCACTTTGGGCTTTGTTTGCTGTTCTTTTTCTTGTTTCTTTAAGTGTCCAAGATACCTCTCTTGATTCTCTCTCCATTCCTCAATGTCTTCCTTTTTTTCAAATCTTCCAATACCAAAGAGTAATACTGTCCACCCATTTGCCTACGCTGAAGATCTAAATGTCCTTGAGTATTTGTCCTTCCTCCCCCATTCATTGCTATTCCCAGCTAAATCATGAGCATCTCTGATTAATTCAAAATATGTCCCACATCTTTTTATCTCCTCATTTTCACTGCACCTACTCGTCTCATCGCTGATGTTTATCTTTCTGCTATGTTTCACCTCCCACAATCCATTCTCACAGAGCAACCGCATGTTCTTTTAAAAGGTATGATATTTCAGGTATGATGTTCTTTAGAGCCCTCCCCTGATTTCCCATTATACTTAGAATAAAAGCGATATTCCTCTATGGCATATAATACCTACGTATGCGGTCATCAATCCTGTCTGCGCATTAACATCACCAGGGGAACTTTTTAGAAGCACTAAGCTTGGGCCCTACCCAAGTCCAATTGAATCAGAATATTTGGGGATGTGGCCCAGACATCAGTATTTTTAAAAATTCCCTAGTGAGTCTAATGGGCAGCCAGGGTTGCGAATCATGCATCCCTCTAACCGCCTTCATACTGCCTTCTCCCCTTTCATGACTGTTCCTTTGAGAGTGACTTTTCCTTGATCACCTTATCTGATGTCCCATGTTACCGATCATTCTCTGCCATGTTAATCATGTTACACTTCTTCTTAGCACTGTCATCTGACTGTCATTTCACCTAAATGTTGGAAAGAATAGCCCTCTGGACTTATCATCACCCTATCATTCCTTTCAACTTAATAATGTACCAACTTATGAAAGCATCTGAGATTTCTACCAGTTCACAGTGCTCACTTGTTATAGCTGCTCGTTAATATTTGTATACCTTCATTACCTCTTTGCATCGTGATGCATTCAGAAGCCTCATCACATTACCATATTTAACTGTGATTACCTTGCTTTAAATATTGGGATTAATTGAAAAATTGTGTTTTCGCTCGTATCAGAACCCATATTTGTAATGCGGAAATGAGCCAACACACTCTTGACAAAACTGAAGTTGTTCGGGTACATCATGAGAAGCCAGGGTTCTTTGGAAAAGACAATAACGAGGAGAAAAATAGAGGGAGCCAGGAAAAGAGGAAGACCAAATATGAGATAGTTTGACTCTACAGGAGCTGAGCAGGGCTGTTGAGGACAGGACACTGTGGACGTCACTTCCTCGTAGGAGCTCTTGCATAGGACTCCACAACATGTAACAACAACAATCACAACTCTTGAACTATTACCATATCCCTTGCAGTTATTAGCAATTGAATTTATGGAGTCGTAATAGTATATGATTAAAACTCCAGACATAGACAATATTCTGCTCCTGTGTCATGCCAAGCAAAATGAATGTTCACTTTTACAAATTCAGCATGGTAATTTTGTGCCTTTAGATTGGGGTTTTACATATACCACGATTCTAGAGGAGACTTAGGAGGTTAAAAAAAAAAAAGAAAAAAGCTTTTCAAAAATGACAGGTTTAAGAAGCATAATTCTGTGATGAATGGCTGTGCAAAAGTACTGTTTACAAAGTACAAGTAAATTCCTCTGAAAGTGAAGCAGAGCCTATATTGTAACAGCTTAGTTTTATGGACAGAGAGAGAGATGAAAACTGGTTGGAAGAGAGTGAAATATTGTTTCTCAGTTTGCCTCCCCTCCCCCATCCCAGGATGAAGTTAAAGCCATTCATTCATGCAACAGCCATTTTCATGTGTTAGCAGACTCCAGCAAGTGTGTACCAATGGTAAAGTATCTTGAAACTTGGGAGGAATGTTTAGCTTTGTGTTACACCTGGATCTCTTGCGCACTTTGACATAAATTGGGAGCAGTGTTTCCTGTTTCAATATCTTTTTTCTCAACCACAGACTTGGATGCAAACCTATAATGATTCTACAGGAAAAGACCCCATTCCTCCCTGTAAAAAATAGCAAAATTTGTTAGGTTTTTAAATACTGATGCTTTAAAATGTGAATCTATGTGCAAAGGAGGTAAATTCAACTTCTACTTGTAGCATGTCCAAAATAAATTGTGAGTCTATTTTCTGAATAATGTCATATAGAACAAATTACCAGAAAGGTCTAGAAGCCTATTAGCAATTGCCTAACATTTTAATTACAACTTATATCTATTCACTGAATATTTGCGGCTGCTTTACACGTATGTACCTCTTACAACAGGGCTTCCTTAGGCAAGATGACCACCTGGATGCCTGATGGATGTGCGGAATGAAGAAAGTTATTACAGTAATTACCTATAAGAGGTGTTCAATAAATATTTAATGTGAAATCTGTGTGTACAGACAGACTAAATTTTATACTCCTATTACAAGATAGAGGATGGGAAACCAGCCACATGTATATGTGTATTTATTGAGATTTTAAAAAGGAAATTAAAGCTTTTTCTTAAAGCCTCATCAAGCAAACACATAAAATATATTTATGGTTGGGGTACCTGTAGCATTGCCAAGAATTATTTGAAATGTTGTTTTATTATTTATTTCCATTTTTTTAGATGCAAATATTTGTATATATAAGATTTGCTACTCTAAATTATTCCAGAATAGTGGTTCTTAACCTTGGAACTTAGAAAAAAGAAAGAGAGATTATGTAAATTATTTTAAAATATGTTTTAATAGTATAAAATGACTTGTAGAATGTGTAGCTATATGGATGAAAGTCCGTATTTATTCATACAAAAACACTGACTGACTGACTGTAAGGTATTAAGGTAGTAAGAGAGTGAGCTGCCTTCTGTCTTTTTTGTTTTGTTGTTCTATCCTTGCTCCAAAGGAGCAGAGATGAAGCATGATCCTCATCAAGTTTTAACTTCTTCAGTGATTAAGGGAATAAAGCTCTAAAATTATCTCGATTATTATTGTCTAATAAGCCAAAATGCACATAATTGTAACATATTGCCTGCCTAATTGTCTCTGGGATTCCATCCCAGTATTGTAAGAGGATGAATGCGAGGATGTATATTGCTAATATCTTTATATTATCCAAGATAACATCAAGGATTTTGTGTTCTCTTATACCTTGACAGGTTGGTACAGAGGATATACCCTCCAAAATAAAGCTAAAAAGGTATGGCTCGTCATTCAATTTTTTAGTTTGAAATCTGTCTGCTGGTAGTATGTTGTGCTATCTGATCCTTACCTGCTCTCTGCTGTCTCTGGACCTAGTTTCCTTTCTCTTTAATCTAAAGAACAGATGTGAAAGCAAACTCTCTGACCTCAATGTTCTAGTAAAATAATGCAAATCCCACTGACCATATTTCCCACCAGCCAACTCGAGGGTAAGAGCCGGGAGGTGAATTCACAGATCTGGCTGGGCCTCTGCCGGCTTCCTGGTCCCTGTCACTCAAGCTAAGCAGTAAGGTGATACAGTGACATTGCTGTCCTTGGCTCTGTCTTTTAGGGAGGGACCCATGCTGCTTCCTTTATCCTTGAGTTGTAATGCTCAACTCCCAAAACTAAAGGGTCTCCCCATTTCCACTTGATTCTTTCCTTCATTGTAAAAACCAGAACACAGCATGTAAAAACCACGCCAGTAACACATCGTGAACTCAATATAGTGGGTTATAACCAATATGTTTCATAAAACAAAACAGAAAAATAGAAAACAAACTGGAATGCCATGGTAAGTATTGTTTCATGAAAGTTTCATTTAGGCCCATATTTTTACATATTTTAGGAATTTTAGATTATATTTTATGTATAGTAAGTACAGGTTTGCCATGAAAATTTATCTCACCGTGGGCAGTTTTAAAAATACTGACCTTAGTGGGTTCCTTTTCCCAGTGTCAATAATTACTAATCCTCAAGCTGAAGAAAATCTATGAATTATGTTAACACCCCCCTGGGTTTATTTATTTAGGTCAGCTCAGCTGTTTTCCTTTGACACTGCACTCTGGGGCAGCATAGCGTGTCAGCACTTTCTTTGAAAACAGCCAAGTTGATAGGGCCACATTATTACACAGTTAGTTCACATGCAAAATAGAGAATTAGGAAAGGGGTGAGGGAAACATTTTGGAATTTATCAAGAGGTGAGTCAGAAACCCCACCGTTTTTTTTTTTTTAAACCTGGCAAGTAATCTCACACAACTCTCAAAGGCGCTCAGGGCCCAGAAAAACAACCTTTCTACGAGGCATAGGCCATTAAAAACCAGGACTGTCTGTTCAGGCTTTCCACCTTGATGACTTTTCAGTCACACTCAGTATTTGCACATGTATGTGTACACACACACACACACACACACACACACACACACACATTGTTCACTTTGACAATTTAATAGTGTGCCAGAACAAAGCAGTGCTTGCTTGTAAAGTGAATATCAGCTCCGACAGTTTTGGTCCTTTGATTTCTCCCCAGATCCTGATCCTGAATTTTTCTACCCACAGATTCTTGTACCGCATGTCTTCCTCTCCAGCCTGATTATTTTCGTTTAATCTCTTGCTGACTTTAATTTCTCCAGGCCTTCAAATAGGGACCAAG